GAGAGAGAGAGAGAGAGAGAGAGAGAGAGAGAGAGAGAGAGAGAGAGAGAGAGAGAGAGAGAGAGAGAGAGAGAGAGAAATGAAGTGGCTGCCATCTGAAGGTTCAAATGGCGACGGGGCGCGTGACTCCGGAAAATAGTCGTCCCCCTGTTTGGGGGAAGGGCCTGCCGAATTCTAATTTTTTAATTCGGCAGGCCCTTTCCCCAAAAAAAATTCGGAGGCAGGTTGCAGCCAGTTTCCCGAGTCGCGCATCCCGGTCGTCAATTTTGTCGGGGTGGGGGCCCGCCATCTGAAGGAAAACCCAAAAAAAAAAAAAATCCACCACCCGTTTTTTTTGGTGTGCGGGGKGCTACGGTGCGCCATGCGGTGCGTGGCGCTCGGTGTGCAACGCATGCACAAACCGGCGCACCGTGGTGCGCCGCAACTATGCATTTAAGAGATGAGACAAAGAACTGTCTGTTGACTCCGTTTCCATATTCGCCCAATTTCCCAGGCTATATTCATACGGACGCAATGAGCCCAGATCGTGAAGACACTCGTCAACAATGCAAGCCCACATAGATATCAACCTGCTGATGATTGTCAATAATCATGATTGTGTCTAGATAGAATGAGATGGGAAAACATCCACAGACGAAGGAGAGAGAAGGGAGAATAGACTTAGAATGGAGAAAGAAGACACTTCCCACTTCTACTTCAGGCTCCCTCCTCGAGTGCCACCTCAATAATCAATAGTCTGAACGCGAATCTGAAGTTCTATCACAATGTGCCACGTGGCACGTCAATCTGTCCTCATCAGCAAGCTGGAGCAATGTCGACATCAAGAAAACCAGGTACGTTTCTACAGTCGCCCAAAAGTTATGATCTCCTCCCGAGTGATGATGGATCAGAACAGCAATGTTAGTCACGCAGCCTCGCCATGTCAGCAACAAAACACGTGGCAGCGGCCACATCAGCGGCGGCGTGTGGCAGCTGCCACGTCAGCCTGCCCAGAAGACAATTGCCAGCCAGCCACCATGCCGAGCCAGCAGCACGTCGCCGTAGTCGCCCAAGTGCCAGCGTAGAGCCAGCGTCCAGCCAGCGTCGCGCTAGCATCGTAGTCAGCGCGTGAGGTCAGCATTGACGCAAGACATAATGTTCTCCAAGCCAGGAGGTTCAGGCTTATGTAGCGTTGATGCGGGGTCTGGACCCCGGATGCTGCTTCCCTCGGCCGTCAAGATCTCAAGGCAAATGACGGCCCAGATAGGCCTGAAACCAAACTCCCTGTGACCTTGATGCTGTCTGGGTACCTGCGCACAACAAGTGAGTGTATCCAACCAAGGGCCTGGGCATGGTACCTTTGACAGTTGACTTAGACTTTTGACTTTCCAAGGCAGTGCTTGGTCACACTGCCTGGCACAGGCCGAGTTTGGCCTGTGTAGTTTGGGCTCCGTTCGAGGCCCAGACTGCAGCAGAACACGGGTTACTGCACGGTGAAATGGTATTCACCTGTTGCAGTAGCCGATGCAGATCCCAGGGCTCGATCCCTAGTCATCACCTTACCTGTGTACATTATCTGAGTTGACCCCGAGAGTTGAACCCGCGACCTATGTGTAATGACCCGCCAAAAACACAGACTGAGAACACTGCTGATTTCTGGGATTTGCCGCTGGAATGAATGCCTTGCTGAAATTCCCGCATTCTGCTGTGATTTCCATG